CTAGTGTAGAACCTTCGGGCAGACTACTTAAATTAGACAATGACTAAAGTTGTATAAGTGGCTAGTTGTACACTCTTCCCATAATTGCCCCCTATGGTTGTAATGCAACCATTAGCCAAATATACTATCAATAAAATTCTGGGTCGCAAGTACTTACCTTAATATTTAAAAAAAAAAAAAAAAACAATTGTCCCCATTAATAAGTCTAATGATTCTTATAAATTCAAAAAAAAAGAAAAATTTGTTAACTAACTCTTTCTGGCTTCAAGCAGCTCATAAATTAATATATTAATCATGTAAATCTAACTCTAATACTCCTCTGTAAAAATTCAGAAGAAATTTGCAAAATTGACCCAACTTTTCTTAGTCAAGAATGGATTTTGACTGCTTTTTCGAAACTGTCTGGAAACTGTTTGATAGATTCATTTAAAACCTTAGTCCAAAGTTTATCATAATATTGGGTAACATAATAGCCTCTGATATATAATAGGCATCAGCTACAAGCAGAAGAGGTAGGTTTACTACAATCAGAGCAAGAGATATGTTTTTTAGCTTTTTAATAGAATTGACATCCTTCAAGGCGAATACAAGCTCTCCCACAAGCCTCTCCAGAATTTTTAAAATAGGAGCAAAAATACTCACCAATCATTCTGCTATTTTTATCACTAAATTCGAAAAGTGATATATACTCTATATATATAATAATTAATTAATTAAAAAAAAAATTTTATAACCAAATAAAAGCATGATGATTAGAGCTAACACTATATCAAATATCTAATGCTTACCCAGAATATATAGAAGAATTTAGTATAGAAATAGCTGATTTCAATCCAATTGGTCCTACTGCCTATATACCTTTGCCTGAAACTTTGCCAAAACATAATAATGGAATTATTAATATTCAAAATGATGATGATTGGTGTTTCAGATGGAGTGTTTTAGGAGCTTTGCATCCTGTTAAAGTTCATCTAGAAAGAAATCTGCATCACTTATATGGAGCTTTCATGGAGGAACTTAATATGGATGACATTCCAATTCTGGTACCAGCCTCAACACTAGTTTATAAAAAGTTCGAAGAAAATAATCCTGAAATTAGTCTATATGTCTATAAATAGCATAACTATAATAAGTGTCTTGAATTTTGTTATGTTTCAGAAAGAAGAGTGGATGAATATAAGCAAGTAAATCTTCTAGTAATTACAGAAGAAGAAAGAAGTCACTACTGTATTATCAAAGATTTACATAAGCTGGTATACAATCATAGCAAGCATAAAGAATGAAAATACCTCTGTCATTATTGTCTTCATGTATACTCTTCAAAGATAAGATATAATGAACATTTGCCAAAATGCAAGGGTCTAAATAATGCCCCTCAGCAACCACAAATGCCAGTTAAGAATAGGAGTATCAAAGCTTTTTATAATCATAAATGCATGCAACCAAATCCATATCACATTTTTTGGAATCTAGAAATGTTAACTGAAAAGTTAACTTCAGAAAAGAAAACAAAGTTAACCCATACTGAAAGATTGCAGATGCACAAGCCATGTGGTTATTGCTACATAGTTGTTCATATGAATAGTTCACTTAACTATGAAATCATAAGTCATGATTTATATAGGGACCCAGATGTGCTTGAAAGATTCGTTACAAAAATTGAGAAGAAGTTGGCAAACATACAGGAGGACTTATTTGTGTCTGCAGAAATGATAATAGCACCAAAAAATCTTAAAGCATACAATAAGGTGACAGAATGCTGGATTTGCAAGAGACCTTTTTTAAAACCAGCACCAGAGATAGTACAAAAACTTGAAGAAACAAAGCATAATTTATTAGAAATCAAAGAATAGGAATCATGCATGGAAAAAGAACATCCTAAAAAGAAAGAGGTACAGAAAAGATACTGAGAAGCTTTAAGTGCACTTAATCAAAAAGTAAAAGATCATGATCATATAAATGGAAAGTACCGAGGCTCAGCTTATAACTCTTGTAATAAAAAGTTGCGTATAGGCTCTTTCAAAACTAAAGTGCCCCTTATCTGTCATAATTTCTGAGGGTATGACTCTCATCTGCTTATGAAAGTTGTGAGCAAGTTCACAGCTGATAAGCTAAATTGCATCTCAGAGAATATAGGAAAGTACAAAACCATAGATGTATGACAGCTTCAGTTCTTAGATAGCTTTTAGCATATGGGAATGGGGCTAGATAAATTGGTTGAATGTCTAGAGGGAAAAATCGAAAAATTCTTTCTAAGTGTTAAGTATTTTACTAAAAAAGGCTATTCAATAGACAAGATTAAGCTTCTTTTTCAAAAGGATGTTTTTCTATATGACTGGACAAATGCATAGAAAAAATTCGACAAAACAAGCCTTCCATCTAAAAAGGATTTTTATTCACTTCTTAGTCAACAAAATATTAGTAAAGAGGATTATGAACATGCACAAAAGGTATGCCAAATATTCGAGATAAAGAACTTTGGAGAATATCATAACCTTTATCTTGAGACTAATGTACTTTTACTTGTAGATGTTTTCATAAATTATATCATAATATGTCTTAAAGATGATGGTCTAGATTCATCTCACTATGTCTCTGCATCTGGAATGTTTAATGATTCTTTATACAAAAGTAGTAGGGTAGAACTTAAGCTTATGGCAGATATGGATGAGTATTTGATAGTTGAAAATGGAATCTATAGAGGAATGACAATGGCAAGTCATCAATATGCCAAAGCAAATAATCCATAATGTCCAGACTATAAGCCCAGCAAGCTGAAGTCCTGGGCCTTATATGAAGATATGAATGCCTTATATTCAGATGCAATGACCCAATACATGCTGACAGAAATCCTAGATAAGGTAAGTCCAGAGGAAGTACCTGACATCCAAAGTATTGCATCAGATACAAAAATAAGCTATATACTTAAAGTTGATTTAGAAGCCCCAGTGTACTTATATAATTACTTTGCAGATTATCCTTTAGTACCAGAAAAGCAGATAATATCAGAAAACTGACTTAGTCTATACAATAAAATATTAGTATGTAATAAAAATGTTGGAGAAGAGAAATATGTATCTGGAGAAAAGCTAGTTCAGATCCTTTTTATTAAGAAGAATTATATAGTTCATTACTGAGCTCTTTAGACATATATGAAGTTCGGAATGAAGGTTACAAAGATTCATAGCACTCTTAAGTTTAGGAGTCTCTGTAAATGAAGGAATATATTGAGGAAAATATTTGTAAATGCAAAATAGCCAAGGCAAATGAGGATGAGTTTGGATCATGTATTATAAGCTAAAAAATAATGCAGTCTTCGGCAAGCAGATGGAGAATGTCTGTAAACATATGAGAGTAGAATTATTCCAAACAGAAGAGGATAAAAAAATCAGATGCCTAGCAAGTTCATCATTATATGTAGGCTTTAAAGTATTCGAAGGGGGTATCACAGCAGTTCACATGTTAAAAAGCATAGTGACTCTAAACAAACCAATCTATGTAGGGCAGGCAATTCTCGATATTAGCAAGGCTATGATGTTTAACTTTTGGTATAATTACATAAAGTCTCGCTATGAAGATAAGGCCCATCTACTTCATACTAATACAGACTCACTTATTATGTAGATAGAAACAGATAACATCTATAAAGATTGAGCAGAAAGGCCAGACATTTTTGATTTTAACTATTCAGATAATTTATTTCTAATAAAAGATGAGACAAAGAGCATACCTATAGGAGAAACAGTATGTTTAAAGCCAAAGATGTACTCAGTCCTTCTAGCGAGGCATGATCCTAAAACTCCTAATAACCCAGATTCTGAAGACTCTAAAAAGAAGCATAGTATCCAAAAGGCAAAGGGTGTAAAGAAAAGTGTGATCAAAAGAGAGCTTTAATATGATAAATTTCTAGAATGTCTTAGGAATAAGAAACTAACTCAGCATGACATGTACAGTCTTCACAGTTATGATCATCAAATATATCTGGAAAGAGTGAATAAGATAGGATTAAATTCATATGATAACAAATGCTGAATCTTATTTGATGGAATTCAAACTTTTCTCTATGGACATTGGTGAATTGGATTATATAAACATCTGGTAGCATCTGAAATATCTCCTGAGCAAGCAGAAAAAAGAGCTATGAAAGCTAAACTTTATGTCAAGGCATAGATGCTTTATAACAAATATTTTTTCAGGTAAAAAAAAATTCTAAAGAATATATTTTTATTAATTAAAGTTTTTTTATTGCTATAGTAAAAATATATAAAATGGTTGATCATAAAGATATAGAAATTGCGCAAGTCAAAGTTATAAAAACTGCATTATGAAAGGGCAGAAAATATGATAATCTTACAAAAAATTATGAAGGCTATCTAAAAAAATTGCGAACTGAAAAGAATCTGAATGATTATATTAAGACAATTGCAATTAAGATGTTTTTTAATGAAGAGGCATACACTCTAAGGCTAAAAAATTATCGCAAAAGGTATGCAGATAATGATCTGTATACTAGTCTAGAGGAATTATATAAACTTTATTATTAAATAGCTAAAGAGGAGAATCGTGAAAGGTTAGATAATGAAATAGAGCAGATACTCAAAGCAATAACAATCTAGAATAAACAAATACAGTAGATCATCTTCTGCAGATCATTAGAAGGTTCTTTATAGACTGGGATCAAGAGAGTAGCTGTCCACCGTTTTCCTAATGCTATTCTTGAGATCACAATTGAGAGATATATTTTTATATTAATATTTTTTTTCTTATAATTGTGATGTCAAAGTGAAATAAAAATCTATAAAGTGTATGCCTCCTTTTCTTCATGATTGCTATCAAAGATCTAATGATCCTCTCATACTAATTAATTCGTGAATGAACAGATCACCAAATCCAAAATTAGTTTAATAGAATCTGCAAATTAGTTTTGTTAGTTGTAAGAAATAAACTATATAAAAAAACTAAATATAAGTAATTTTGTTATTAAAAACTTATCTGGTAACTCATCATTATTATGTCTCTTACTAATCTTCAAAATCTCACCTTGAATATTTTAAAAGAAACAAAACATAACATAGTACAAGATATCGTTGTTACAGAATTGCCATCATGTAAACTATGTGAAAACAAAATATTATTTGTTAATTTCGAATTATTTACAATACTTTCATGTGGACATACATATTATAGAAAATGTATAGAAAAAAATTTTTTACTTACAACAGAAAACAAATGCCCTTTATCTGATTGTAATAAAATCATTGATCCAGTAGTATCTGAACGAAGGTTTTCCAAATCATCATCTCAGTCTAGTGGAACTTCTGCTCTGACTAAAATGTTAGGCGATGACTTTGGATTAGGTTCTCCAATGGCTGTATCACCATTATTAGGTCAGAAAGACCCCCCACTCTGTGAGACAGAAGGTAGTCACAATAATAATCCAATATTAATTGAGAGTAAAACACAGAAAAAGCATGTTAGTGATGCTAGTAATAAGTCATCAAGTAAGAAAGCAAGAAAGCAGGTTAAAAAAGAAGATTCACCTACATTAAAAAAACTTATAAGCGAATTGACTACTGATGCTTCTGAAATCTCAAAAGTTAATGTAACATATAATAAAATGCTACGAATTTTTTACAGCTCAATGATAATATTACCCATGTAGAATCCAAAAATGAAAGCACAAATCAGGAACTCATTCAGTGTTATTACTCCTTTGGGGATAGTTTATCAATGCGCATAAATTATTATAAAAATTTGAAACATGGAGACTTAACATCCCAAGCATTAGTTAATGAAGAGGTTCGGGAACAAATTGGTGAAAAAATTTCTAATGATACTCTTCGTAAAAGAACCGAAAAGGCGTGGAAAATATATGCTCTTTTTAATAGTATTTTTAAAGATAGGGGAAAAGAAATGATAGTTTGTATTAAAACATTTTCAGCATCATCTATATCAAAATTAAGTTGGGAAGAGATTGAATACGTAATAGCCAGGGTAATTCGTTCTAATCAATAAGTGTTTTAGTATCACGTGATTACTGCGCCTGTGAACTCGAGTTCACATTTAATGTCAAACAAATCAAAAATAATTATTATAATTTGAGTTACGGAATATTTATTTGTATATCTTATAAATAATAACAGGTGTTGAAATTCCATACACGAGAGTTTTTACCTTTGCTTTAAATGATCACAAACATAAATACCACCCATTACAGGTTTGTATGTATAAAAAATTAGAACACGTACGTACGTACCAGTATATTATTTTTTTTCTGCTAATATATATGGGTGAAAAATATACATATATATTTTAACAATAATTCTCAAATGATTAACAAAATTTATTGTTATCGTTGTACGTACATACGTACATAATTTGTCCACGTAAAATTTATCTGTAAGACGGGGCACAGGCATATGATGCCACATATTACAGGTTTGTACGTATAATAAAAAAATTAGCCACATTATATTTTTTCTGTTAATATATAACAATGAGAGAATATAGTATACTTACAAATAAAAACAAACAAAATTACTTCGAAAAATGGCATATCTTTAGAGGTTGGAAGCATGGGTTTAAGGTTTGTGACGAATGCAATCACCATTCACACCTATATTGCAAAACATGTAAAAAAGTAGCAGAGGGAATATATAAGCGATGTGAATGTGATAATTCTTTAGCTTCAAAGAAGCGTCTCTCTAAGGCAAGAATAATTTAATAAAAATAAAAAATCCCACAGTTTTCCAGTAGTTATCCCGTAGTTATTCTATAGTTAATATATATCTATTATACTAAATATAAAAAAAAATCTCGTAGTTGTCCCGTAGTTATCCCATAGTTACCCAATTACCAGATTACAGGATGGCACTGGAAAATTTCACGAAGTGTATGCAGTAAAAATGTGAATTTCTGTACTTACTCTGCCAAAAATTTCGCTGACCTTGGGTCAGGATAATTTTTCACCCCTATACCATACTAATATAGCCATCCATACTATACTGATATTCATATTTATTATCCCATAAATCCGTATTGCACAATCTGTTTACATGTTATACTACTACTTCATTCTTCCTTTGTTATCAATAACTTTTCTCCTATATCTTATCTATAGCTTATCATATCGCTTTATTAATAATCGAAAAAATGGCAAACTAACAAAGTATCAAACTTACAAGTCAAGAAGTATAGTATTAGTATCAATTAGTATTATCGCTATTAATTGTAATCATACTTATCTTTTATAACTATCTGTGGCACTAATACAATTGTCGGCACATACATTGTAAAAAATGAATTGTATGTGAATTAATCGCCTATAAAATAACCTTGACTATAAATGTAAGCGTGAGCATACTTAACTGATTTTTATCCAGGCAGATTATTATAGAATTTAACGGTCATAACTAATATGGTAGATACCCTAAATGTAAATAGAAGCTAAGTGTACGTGCATAAATTAAGATGAATAAGTAATATGCTTAGATTTAAAAAGTTATATAAAAAATTCTATAACACTTACCGCTATACTAATGACTATTATGTGGTTGAGGTTGAGTTAGTTTGTCTTAATTTTTAGGTGATTAAGCTTGAGTTAGTTTGCATTGAAGTTCTTATTACCATAAATTATTCTTACTACTGCATCCTCTCCAACGCGAACCTTGTTTTACAACTTAACGATTTTTTAGTACCCGTGGTACTAGAAAAAAATACTGTCTAGTTTTAAAAATAAATCAGCTAACGATTTGGTTATACATAATTTGTCCACATAACAAATATATTCATTAACATGTGTTACTGGATATAAATTTATTTGTATCACCTTACTTATTTGTGCCATTTTTCTGAAATAAGTACCCCAACCCAAATTCTGTCAATCATCTCGTGGCAGGTATGTACGTACGTACATTCTTCAACTTGTTACTATAGAATTTCAAAGTTGATGGAAAACGTATAAAAAGGACGGTATAGCAAAGCTATAATATTTGTTGCTTACTAGTTGATTGTCTTCTGTGCATTAACAAAATTGACCTTTTTTACAAACGCAATAACCATGCAAACCACTTTATATAATAACCTTTATAATTTTTTAACTGAAGCTCCTGAGACACAAATTACAGCCATTTCTCTCGTTTACCGGGCATTAGGTGATGAACCACGAATAGAAAAGGAAGACTTAAGAGTAGAAGTAAGTCGTGTAACTTCGTCGGCGCTAATGGAATGCGAAGTAGATTCTGACCGATACAGGAGAATGTTGAAGATATCTGATCAGGTACAGTATGTATTTTCAAAGAAAACGAAATTTGAGAGTAGAACCAGATGATGAGAAGTGCATACCGAGTAGGAAGAAATAAGCTAAATGCTAGTTTGAAGCCATAGATGCCATAGCCATGCAAGAACTGGACTCTAATCCACAGACGCATTGGAGGCGTTGTTGGTTTCACCTATGCACAAAATTTTTTATTCTTATGGGCGTTCGAACGTGGGAATAAAATTAATAATGATGGCCATTATCAAATTTAATAATATATCTACATTTTTTTTAGTTTGATGATGTATTTGAGGGATTTCGTAGCATACGCGAAATGGAGGCAGAAATGGAACCTTTAAGTGATGATGAAATTAAAACAAATTTAAGGAAGTTAAAAAATCGTCTTGCGGTAAATATTCTTAATAACCAAAATACAAATTATATTCATCTCTTACTTGAAGCTCTATGCTTTTAGAAAAGCAAGGCCATCCATGCTATACACTTACGAAAGAGCTTGAAAGGTGTTACTGAGAAAGTTGTGAGTTGGAAAGATCCACTTGGAAGTCGAGTAATTAGTGATAAAACTGAGATGGTGCGCCAGTTGCCCCGCAATGCTTTCAAATCTTTCATGGGTCCCAAATTACGTATGCAACCACAAGCTTCAGATGAGATTCGAGAAATGTGTGAGGAATATGTAGAAAATTTTTCTAAAGATACTTCAGAAATTTTATTGAATAATTCGCACGACGGCAAGTGGAAAGAATCAGATGAGAATTTAAAAAAAGTTGCGAAAGAAATTATCGATGCATTAAATGAGGTTTGGAAAAATCCGACCTTTTCCTCTAAAAATTCTAAATCATTAAATGAGGGAACTTATGTTACAGAGTAGAGTTCCGATCCGGATAAATCCGTCATCCGTTTATCCATATCCAAATTTATCTGGATATCTATTTACTATTAATATCCGGATAATCTAACAGATAACCGGATAATTATCCGGATATCAATAGTAACCAGATATTCAAATATATTCGGATATTGGATAACCGATGGATAAATGGATAAACGGATAATGGATTGGAACTCTATTACAGAGGTAATAGTACCCGTGCTTAGAGCTTCACTAAAAAATCTTCCAATTGGAAAGTCTGGTTTTATTACTACTGCGGAAAAAGAAAGTTTAGTCAGTAAGAACAGGAAAGAAAAATATGGAAAAAAACCAGATATTATGTTTATATTAAAACATAAAAAAAAGAAATATGAATTGATGTATGGAGAATGTTCTTGGTTGGTTTGTAATGAACAAAAAGAAGAAATGGACAGAACCAAGTTGTGGAGAGAGATTAATGATGGGATGTTTTGGGTGCACAAGGGGTGTTCACCAACCAAAGAGGAATTTGGCATTGTTGGTATTCAGGTAGCAGGCACTCGATTATACCTGAATGTTCTCATAAGAGATAAAGATGAGATACATTGCCTTTACGAATTGTGATCATCCACTATTTCAGTAAAGCTTTCAAATAGTGATACAGTGCTTGACTTTGTAGAAACATTTTTAATATTATAGGTATGTTTAAATTTTACTGTGTAATATAGAATTCTTTGTAGTCTGGTTACTTATTTTCTATCTCTATAGAACATTTTACTTGTCAATAGCTTTTTGATATTTAATGTGAAGAAGAAAAATAGATCTTAGAGTTCAGAAAATAGTTCAAGTATATTAACTCCTCTATGTTAATCTTTGTGTTCCTGTTTTTCATTTTATCTTTTATCAATAAAGCTGGCCTGGTGATTCAAATTCGCGAGATAATTAGAATTTTTTGTTATTTTATATTTTATTTATATATTTTATATTGTCTTGGTAGCTCGATTTCATATACATAATTGTGTTTATTTTTGCATATGTATTTCGTGAATTTATTTTATTTATTGTTATCGATGTATATTAATTCACCTATGATCGAGAATTTTTTTACGCAGTCATGTGTTTTGGATTTATTTATTTTTTGTATTTACATAGCATGTATGTTTCGATAAAAATATATATTTCTATGATAAAAGAATTGAATATATCTGTGTTTTATATAAAAAATGACAAATATACAATCTAAAGGTGACTTGTTGAGAGAATTGAATTATAAGCTTGTAACCAAGATTGATAAACTTAGGAAGGAGAATGCAGAAATACCTGAACTTAAAAAGAAATGTGCTGAAATTGAGGCTGAGAATATAAAATTAAAGCAGATTATAGAAGAAAATGCAGTGCTCAAGATCTGATTTGAAGAGTTAGAAAAGAAACACCAAACAGATATTACCAAACTTACTGCTAAGAATACCGAGCTGAAAGATAGAGTCATGAAATTGGAACAGATACAGACTCAAGTCACTATTAATGACCAAAATGCATCTTCTACAAAAAATAAGAAATCTATTATTACCGATTCTACCCAACTTCAAAAAGGTAAGTCTAAATATTTATTTGAATCTCCAACAGAGCCTATGACATCCATAACATCTTCACAACAAGATATTGTTAATGACGATTTGGCTAGTACCCTTGAATTTGTAGAAATGATACATAAAGAAAATGTTGCTAATGAAATAAGGCAATGCAATAGGGAAAAGAAACTTCAATGTGAAGCAATTTCTCAAGAGATACCTTTAAATTTTCAAAATATTGCACCCACTATTTCTTACAAGCAAAAGAAAGAACAAGGCTTAATTCAGAAAATCTGCAGGTGATAGCCAGGATGATGCATTTCCATTCACCCAAGATTATGACTCCATATCTCTGGAATATGTGACTGAAATTTTGCTGACCTCAGGTCAGGAAAAATCGAGCATCTTCCAAAATATCGCCCACTTATATGAAAAAGCATGTGATGCAGAATATGAATCAATAAAAGCTAATCAGGCTGAAATTTTATGCTAGAGTAATTTTATTATAGTACTTGACAAAAGTCTTGATGAACTCATGGTTAGGAATAAAGTGAGTATGAAAAAAGCTAAAGGTCAAGTTTATGATTTTATTATTGCACAAAATCCTGGCATTAGGGACGAATCACTATATAAGAAAATTGAAAGAGCTAAAAAAATTTACAGGTTATTTGAAAAAATAGGTTTAGATAAAGTAAAATATATTAAGTCATATAGCACAAATGCTATTTCGAAATTTACTAATAAACAGATTCAAATGATTATTGATCATTTTACTAAAAATTCTATCAAAGAATACATCGATGATCAGGACAATTCTTCAGATGACTTACCCAAAACTGATGTAGGTGAGAAAACTTTACCAAAAATTGAGGTGAATACACTAACCATATCTCAGCCCAAACTTCAAATTTCAGCAGAATTAGCACAGCCAAAAGCCTCCTATGCCCCTTCAAAACTCTTCCTATTTAAGAAAAAGCTATCAAAAGAGATGCATAATCCAGTTATTAATAAACTAACCTCACATTTTACCAACTCACCAAAGTTAGATAAAAATCATAGTATTGATACTGAAGGTGAGCATTAAACTGATTCCTATTGGGTTCTCGGTCCATATTGTCCACTATATAGAGAAAATCATATGAGTTTAGATGATAAGTGGTGACTAGATAGTTGAAATAAAAATACATATTATTTACATTACATTAATTTAAAAGAGCCAAAAATTCTATACAATGATGTACTAAAAGCATATTCTGGTAATTTGAAACTGATTCAAGAGTTAAAAACTCGATGCTTCACATTACCTATCTCTTGGAATCATGTCCTTATTTTACCAGATAAAAGTATAGTAGTGGAAGCATAGTCACTGTATGACCTTGTCTATGACAAGAAATCATGATTAAATGATAATATATATATTATTATTACGTATTTATCATATCAATAAAGAGTTAGATCATTAGTCCACATCACTAAGATTCTAATGCATCTTAACCGTGACTCAACTGAGATATGATCTTTTTTCATATAATTATATAAGAAAAATTCAACCGTGACTCAACTACAACTCAACTAAAGCATTTTGGACTGAGTGATCTTAAATGAAAATAATAATCATTATAGCACATTAAATATATAAGTGGTATGATTAGTATAAACCAAGGGCCAATCAATCTACTGGTAATCATTCACGATTTACAAATAAGTAGCTAAGCTTAATTTAATCAAAATTCGAAATTACACTTTTGGAAGTTATTTTGCATTTATATGGAAAGACTAATTTATACGAATGGCCAGGTGGTATGAATTGGTGGATGAGATAAAGTCAGTTAGAAGCATGACGTGCTATGAATGGTCTTTATTTTATAAAAATCGCATTAAAATAAAAAATAGCAGGGGCACGAAACCCCTCTCTTTATTTCATAAAAATTATTGCTAGAACATTAATATACAAATAAAAAAAAATAATTGCTGTTATAGGTGCGAATACAAATAAAAAAAATTACTATTTAATAAAAATATAAATTTAAAAAAAATTAATTTCTTGAAGGGTCTATATAAATATGAAAGCCATTATTATCAGGGCTATTAGCGAAGTCTTTAGAAATTCTAATCATTAGTTTATAAATCGGACCATTAGCGGATGAACGAAGAATGATTTGAGTAGAAGGAATGGAATCAAATAAAGGTGCTAAGCGTTTTTTTACCATATGTTTGAGCAATTCATACTTTTTGTCATTAGAAATCTCAATAGTAAAAGTTTTATTTTTACTGCTACCACTGACGAGACAGTTAAGATTAATAATTGTCATTTTTGGGGACTTTGCAAGAAATATATAAAGAACCTATAGTAAGTAGAAATTAACTTTAGGAATAAAAAATCTCGTATAAACAATATATGATAACCGAACCTTGGAAGTAAATTGCAAATATGAAAAATTTTTCAGAGAAGCTGACATGACAAAAAATATATATGAAAGCAATGTTATTGCTAACTTACCTTATAGGCAAACTACTTATTTTTATACTTCACATTCGATAGATCTAAAAAACCTGCCAGAAAAAAAAAGTTACATGATTAGTAATTGCGTTACCCTAACACAATACCAGATCTAGCCACATAAAGCAACCCCATTTAGCTATAAGTTCCAAATACTGAATTCATTTCGTCGTTTTTTAGGTGAAATTAAACCCCCCTAGATTTGACGATCACTACTATGAAGTAAAAAAAGTTGACGATTTGGGAATGGCGAAGATTCCAAGTCCTAGTAACATATGAATTTCAATAAAACTACTGATAAAGAAAGTTGTACTCTTCCCTATTATAGCCCTTTTAGGATGCAAAGCATCTCCTGCTTCACAGAGTTTTATGCTTTTTCTTATCGCAGTATTATATAGACTTTCTAGATATCAAAAATTGACTGTGAGAAATTAATATAAGACTAGTATCACTAGGCAAAAAAATTTCGATCATATAGCATTTTCTAACATTAACATATCAAAAAAAATTTTTGCTATTAGTTTAGGGTTAGGGTCCTACTAGTAGGTTAGCATTTGATTTAGAGGGTTATAAATATAGTAAAATTTCATGAGGAAAACTTTTTCTTAATATGCAGAAGGCACTTTCATAAGCAAAATTTTAAGCTATAGGCGTTTTTTTGTTATTTTGATTCTTTTGTGCTTCCTTTGCATTATACAAGGTCTTGAAATCTGATTGGTTGCAAAATTTTTTAGACTGGTGATTTTAGGGCTGTTAGAAATTAAAGTAACACTGCATAAAATTTAATTAAGGTCAATAATCATTAAAGCCAGTCAAGGTTTTATTGCTCATTCGAACTGATAACCCTGAATATTGATCACTATTTTAGCTTTGACCTAGACCAAAATAAAAGCAGTCCCATGGATCTATTAACTTGCATTATATAATGTAATATAATATATACGTACTGTATATGCTTTATTTTTTCCAGCTAGATGTTTGATCAATATGTTTGTTATATTAGTAATAGCTAGGAATTAATAAATAATGGTTATTCTAAATCTGTAAAATGGACTTAAATAGCATGTAAAATTCTCATTGTATCCTGTATAATTATACCTGTTTAACTAGTTATTAACGATCTAATCCCAAATATAAAAAATATGTAATTGTTGATGTGTTTAATAATTGTAGTGCCGAATATAGTAAATATGCAATTGTTAGCATAGAAATTACTGAATTATCGTGTTAAATTATTATAATGCAGAATAATAATTGTTAGTTGACTCGTGTTGAATTTTCGTAATGCCAAGTTATTTTTATCAAATATACTGCTTTGTGTACTGAAATTATAGAACATAAAATAAATTGTAATATCTAATAAAAGGATCATTTTTAAAATGAAGTTCTGCTTTGATTTTATTTGTTTTTCAAAACACCTTAATATTTTTTTATAACAATAACAATTACTTACCTATATCATCACTATGTTATTGCAAAATATTTCAATTATTTTATCAAAGTCCTTCAAGAGAAATCTACATAAAAAAAATCTACATGACATAAAAAAAGTAAAATTGAAAAGTCCAATAATTCAACTATTGGAGAGGATAATTCCACGTTTAATTCTAATGTTAATCAGATCAAAGAAAGAAAAAATATATTTTATGATCCATCAAAGGTATGTACCAAATTACAATATTTTTTTCTTATTGTCAAGGTCATGTCACATATTAATTATATTTTTTCTTAAAGCACAAAACACAAATAGAGACTCGCAAATCTACATAAGAAGGAACTTGTAATTATATTCGAACACAGTGGGTTTCTAAGAACTTCGATGCTAAAGATCTTAAATCATCCAATATATTCCAGCCTTTCACAGTAGTCAGTCTAGAGTCCATATTTATCAAAAAGCTTTTAGAAGAAAAATATCAAAGGCAAATTGTCAGCAAACAACTTCCTATTGATAATGATGTCTCTTCGATGCCAGCTCAATATTTAATGTTATTGGAATCAGAAATTTTTCATGCAACATACATTTCAGATTCAACATTCTCAGAATTGTGAAATAAATTTGGACATTAGATAGGTTTTGATAAGGTTTCTAATCTTAGAAAAAATTTCATCACCATTGTCACTATATATGGACCAAAATCAACCATGCATATAATTTGCAAATAGAGGCTTGAAAAAATCCTCTAGAGCTTCATGGCACCTTGGAGGTATTCCAGCAACATCCAAACGATAAACTTTTTATTGCAGATGAAACAACAAAGAAAGTTGCAGATGATGTTCATCTTGATAGTTACAAATATATTTCTAAACCACAATGTTTCAAAAATGCTGCCAGTGAAATGTTAGTAGATTTTTTTGATCTTACTAACTCTTTAGCTACTGAAACTGCATGGAATATAGTAGATCAATATTATAATCATACCTTTAGCAATCCATCCCATCAATCAAACCAATTTGCTAAAGATCTAATAGAACATTTTGGCTGTTTCACCAACAACAACAATGAGCCATATGTCACTACAAACACTATATCTATGCATTGTGAGGAGCATCAGAAGTGTGTTCGAGGCTTAATTCAAGAGCTTCAACTAATTTTTGATGCTGTTAATAACTATTTTGGTATAACTTATCCAACTCTGTATACCAAAATAAAAAAACAATCTTGGTTCTAATGTTCCCAAATCTTTTGGAGTTTTTCCTATAGTTGGCATTAACTTTAATTCTATTTGCCAATTTCACTGAAACTTGAAAAATCATCGAAATACTCTCTGTATCATCTGTCTACTTGGGAAATTTGAAGGTGGAGAACTAACATTTCCCAAATTAAAGTTGGCCATTAAAGCAAAGCAGGGATAGGCAATAGCTTTCTGGTCGCATCTTTTGGTTTATAGAAACCTTCCAATTATTTCTGGGATCAGACATAGTATTGTTTTTTATATCCATAAAACCATCATAAAGCAAAGGCAAAAATTTGGATCTCTTTTTGATGATAGTAATTTGAATCTAGAAAAGAATAATAGTAAAAATGAAAAGAAATCACAAAAATATGCTCCTTCTAAGTTAGGTTCTCGAAGCTCTGGAGTTAGATTAAAAAATCACCAGCGTAGTCATCTTGGTAAGCACATCATTTAATTGATTTTATTATAATTTACAATAGGATAAACCCCATCTAAATCTGTTTCAATTTAAGATCTTGAACCTGCGAAGAGGAGTTTACTAGCAAAATATAAAAAATAATATTTATTATTTCAAATATTGGAATCATCTAAATGTTTGCCTACTAATTTAATTTATCATACTACTATATATCTTTATTGTTGTATAAATATTGGGTATACAGACCTGGGTTGATATATTATGTAAATCAAAATTATATGTGGTTATATGATTTTCTAATAATTAGATATTTTTAAGTATTTGTATATATGTAGGTACATGGCTTGTGCATTTTTTTTGTCCAAAGTCTTAATACAAATTGATCTTTATTAGCACCCTTACAAGCTACAGAAGTGATTTTTACATTATATATTAGAAATAAAATTTTCTAATCTAACTTTCTCGCACTTGTTACAGTACTTGGATCATTTGGAGAATTATTAAATTAATTAGTAAAGTGATCGGTATTACAATTTGTTACATGCACATAAATTTTTTAATTAAAATATAAATTCATTCTGTAATTTTGTCTTTCAAGACTTAATAGTGATTTGTTCAAATTTTTATATAATCTAGATTACATATAATTTTGATTTAGATAGTGCACCTACTCATATGTGGTTATTAAAGTAATGCACATATATATTTACAAGTATTTATTTGAAGTCACCTATTATTCCTTAAATATATCAGTATTCAATTGTAATACAGTTATTAATAGTACATTAATTGAACATCTTATGAATGCTTTCTCCACTGCATGTCTGAACTACCTATCTTGAATAAAAATTTCAAAAAAATTAGTGATATAGGTATAAATATTTATGGCTTATTATTGTCTGGTAAACTATTTTTTAAAAACAAATGAAAAGATATTTGGCATCAGAATTTATCATATATATGTACGTATATGTATCACAACCAACATCAAACATAGCAAGTCATATACCAACTTAAAACATTCCTTGAGCACTACATGCATAAGGCTTATATAAACCTTTTATTTTTTTTATTATTTTTTAAATCCACTTCTTTCTACATTAGTTAAACAAAAAATTTCGTTTCTACTACCGAAGTGATAGGACCTCTGACTATGTATCTTTTATATTAGAGAAATATTATGATGCAGGGATTTGCATTAAATGGTTTAGGATCTGCGTACTCCCTCCCTTAAAAGCATGTCATATATTTCATATATATTATTAAAAAACACTATCACAGAGAGCATGATTGTCAGATTATAATTGTCTATGTAGTGAGGAGAGGAAGACTTAATAAGCTTCTCGTAGTTTAGTCCACTGAGCTATGAGATGAGAAATAGTTTGAATATATCCACCTCATTATACTTTTTCTCTAATAGTCATACAAAAAATTTTATCTATAACTTTAGACGATAGGGCCTCTGACTTAATATATTTAATTGATATTCATTCATTACAATACCTTTCACAAAAATTGAATCTGGAATTAAGGAAGTATTAAGTTAATAAAATCTAATAGGTCTATAAACAATATAATCGTTAAAAAAATTATAAGTCAAATAATCATTAAATATATCTAGTTTAGTTATTCTTATTGTTATTGACAAAAAAAATAGAAGATTACCCAAACCTTTTAATAACTGTCCTGGATATAATCTGAAATATGTGGAATCATATATTAACAAATATTGTGGTATTAATAATTATCAACAATTCTTTGATGAACTCTTTGAAACTGAAAGACGATATGATATACTATCAGTTATTAAACCATATGAAACTCCAATACAGTGGGCTATTTGGGTTAGAGTTCCTTTACAAGAGCTAGTCTCTGAGAGAAAGAGAAGCGATTATCATACACATGCTCTATTTCTAGCATTTGGTAAAGGTAAATTTGTAGAGCATGATTACTACTAACCTAGAATTCATAAAACTCATATGGCAATTTGTCTTGATTGTTGGAAATTGATTCAAGTTAATGATGAAAAGCCAAAGAAGATATATGCTAATGCTATTTATAGATATATTGAAAGACTTGAACCAGCAGATTTGATGAAGCAACATTGGGATTATTCATATAGCAAAGCTAAAACTAGAGATGGCTTAGTAAGAATTATTCAAAATGCTTGGAGACAATTCAAAAAAAGGAACCCATCAAATGCATGGCTTGTCTAGTTGAGTTTACTGAATAATAATACTCTTAAAGAAGAGAAATTTCTAGGTTTAATCCCTCACAAAGTGAAAAACCCAATCTCTTTAGATCAAATTAAAATGTGTCTTAATAAGGAATATGGCGAGTATATAAAAAAATATAATAGACTTCCATATATTGCTGAATTTGAAATTAGTAGATATTAGGAATATATTATTTCATATGATTAGATAGGTAAAAAGAAAAACCAATTACAGAATAGATTTCAAGAGCATCTTTTAAAACTTGAAACATAAATAAAATCGATTTATTAATATAATATTTTTTGTAGATAGGTAGTTGTCCACCATTTTCCTAATGCTATTCTTAAGAGTAGAAGGCACATAAGTGCCATTGTTTCACAATAAGCCACGAGTCTCTGACTCATTACAATTGGGTATGCACAAAGTGAATAAAAATCTATGAAGTGCATACTATAACACTATAGACTTTTCATTTCTGCGAAGCAGAACACTTATGTGGCTGATTTTTCAGGTTCAGAATTTGTAAGCTTCATAAGTAATGCATTTTTTGTCTTACGCTTCTGACATAACTCTATTTCTTTCTGCAAATCTAATGGGGTATCAAACCTTAACCGGATTGCAAGTAGATCATCCTCTGCTCTATTAAGGTCAAATACAATAAACTCACTCTTGCGAAGATAGCTATTAATGACTATTGATGCACTTTTTATATCATCAGTATATCGACCAACAATTTTGGAAACATCTTGAGAAGAACTACCACTATTAAATATTACTAGATGTGATAAATTCTCACGAATAATTACTGAAACATGATGATATTTTTGTGTTATATAGATTGGGCTTATATTTTAATGATGCCCATGTGTAAAGAATAGAATAATTTAGTTTTGGATAGACTTTAGAGCAATATATAAATTCTCAAAAACAATTACAGTACTTCTCTCAGATGAAAATAACTTTACACTAGAAATTTTTTTAGATGAAATATATTTAAATCTAATATTTTCATAATATGGTGCTCTTGGATCACTTGCAATTACTCTATACATATATCTAACAAATGCCCATTTAGATTTATTTAGGTGATATCCACAAACTATCAAATCATCACATCGTATATAGTGGGATCCACCCTTTTTTTTTATATATATACATTCATCTTTATTATCAACAAAAATATTTTCAAGTATATTAGTTTTACCTGTACCACTCTTACCACTAACTACCTTACTAAAGGGCCATGACATTACTGGATATCCAATATTTCAAATTGATTCATGTTTATTAGCTTCATCTATATCCATAAGATAAAGTTTCATAGATGATAGAGTGAAACTCATTTTCTTTGAAAATAAGCTCGATGAGCCATAATCCTTGGTTTGCCCTTTGGGCTTGTTCTGCAATAGTTCTTTCTTTTGATTTTTTTGTATATCAGATGAGTTGGGAACTTGAAGCACTGCTTCCTAGAAATCCATATCTATAATTTTTATAAACTAGATAAAAAATTTCTTTCCTCTGATAATTTACTTTACTTTGTTCATTCATGGTCAATTTAGGCACATTAGTGCCCTCACTCTGTGAGTATATTTCAGAAAACAAATTGTCAGAGATGGTCATACGGTGGCTATAATTTGGCTTTGAGTTCAAAGAACAAGAAGGTGGGAGTGGATGAAAAATATTCCTATATATATACCAAATAATTAATATCACTATTATTACAATAATGACAATTTTAATAAAAGAAGAAATTTGATACTTATCATTAACTAAAGCCTCACCAGTGCATACTGTCTCTTTTATTGTAATATCTTGAATTAATGACTCCAGATTCTGCTTATTTGTAATATCTTGAATTAATAACTCCGAATTCTGATTATTTGTGATAATTGGTAATGTTTTACTTTTAAAATATTTTGCAAGACTTTTATGACTCAAAGAGTCACCCTTAAAGAGCCTGCAAAGCAATGACCATTCGGGTCTAGATTCAGATGTATCTCTAGAATTCAATATAAAACTTTGTTCCTCACTTTGCATATTTTTTTTCTCACCTCTCATAACTATTGCAGAGCAATAAGTCTTCGACTCTACAGGATCTAATATATCTTTTGTTTTCTGTAAAACAGAGCATAAAGCATCTAAATACTCAATTTTTTTAATTTTTGAAGCTAATTTATCTTTTGTATTCATTAGTTCATTCTTTATATTTGTTAATTCAGACTTGAGAGATATGATCTTAGATTCTTTTTTTATTATCTCTTTCTGAGTTGAGAATGCATCCTTCTGAGCTAATGCTAACTTACTATTTAATATTTTGTTCATTGACTGGAGTGATTTTATTTTTTCAATCGAATGATATCCTTGACTCCATATTTAGTATTAGAAATCTGTAATTGGTTAATTTGAAATGTTAAAGTATCTAACTCTGAGCTTAATCACTTAACCTCATTTATAAGCTAGTAGGTATGCTTGGAGAGTTTCTCTTTATCATTATTAGATTGTTTTAGATCATGTTGTATACACTTATTGTCTTTAT